GGCAGTTTGCTAAGTTAACATACACATGAATAAACCACTAGTAGGATTCTGACCACCAGAGTACTGATTATATATGTAGGTGCATCATGATGTGGGCTTTTGAGTGGCTGCTCATCTGGGGTGAAGATCATGTTATGAGAAGCCATGCAAGGACACTGTACAAAACAGAGTGGCCTTTTTGTTTCACAAATTATAAATATGCGTAAGCAAGTAGGCTGGGTGTCTTTCTGAGCCTGTTATAAAACTTCTTATATTGTCCATTTGGAAGACTCTAGTCTGGTTCTCTGTGTCAGTTCTACAGTTCCTGTTGCAGGTATGGGGACCCTTAAGACCTGGGACTGAATCAGTCTTTCTCTGGTTCCCCTGATAACTGTGCTCCCTTTCCCATGATACTATTATTCAGTGATTTCTCAGCTGTTGTGCAGTTTTTCCGCAGCCCACCTCCAATTCTAAAATGTTGAAAAGCTTTTCCTAAGGCTTTGTTGCTGGCCGTTAGTGCTGTAAGTGAGCGTGAACAGGTATTGTTGGTCCTGCCTTTTTAAATCTCTGCCCTGCCCCCTGGAATTTGGCCCCCTCCCTAAGAACCCCTCTGACACAGAATGAAGCCTTGGACTACTAAAAGATGCTTCTCAACCTTGTTTGTTAGCATGAATGCAAGGACCCAGAATGAGGACAAGGCAAGTGAGGTACTTGAACCTGGGTGCACAAAGCTGTGGGGCACAGGGAGGAAAAATAATTTACTATCCAAATCGCACCATGCCATTAGAAAGAGGGCAAATTCTATAAGTCCTATTCAGATAGTCACATTTCCTGTTTGCATGTATGTTCTGCACATGAAAAGGTACCCTGGTGTAGAGTCTATACAGGAGCAGTACGTAATATCTCCCCTACAGATTTGTCATTTCTATGTACAGAAAGTTGTGACAGATTCTAGCAAGACTAATCACATCCCTCAAAGTGTGGTGAGCTTATTAATATGCAGGGAACAGCTGAATAGGTTTATAAATTCAAATTGAAACAAATTTGAAACTTTTTGCAGCATGATGTATGTTTAGGGTTCTCCTCTACCTTCTCAGAGAACAGCCAAGAACAGGGAGCAGGGAGAGTGAAGAACTCATTTTATATGTTTTCCTTTGGTGCAAAATCCACTAGTTGTGGCTCTGTGTGTATGCTATGAACCTATCAAACATTCAGTGCCAAATTAATATGTAGAATTGATCATAAGAAGACAGTCAAATACTAATCAGTATAAAATTTCTTAGTGATTGTGGCGGACAGCCCACACGTCACTCCTATCGGTCATTGTAGAGCTCTAGTGCAGGAGCCTATGAGAGGACAGGAGGGGCGGAGTCAACAGAACTGGGAGAGTCAGTTAGGAAAAGATTTGTGACATGTTTAGACAAGAGATTGGAAAGTTTGTGTGTTAGGGAATATAAAAGAGTTAAAAGTAGTGAGAAATACATAGACTGTCAGAATATTGAGACCTTGATTAAAGGGAATGAATACTAGCAAGCATATATGTAATCAAATCCACGTTTATTGAATGAATAAAAGAACACCAATGATTTTACTTCTGTGATTAACCTACCATACCATAAATAAACCTTGTTATATTTGGCAGTAATAGTCTGAAATTCATTATTGGTACAGTGAGGGTAATTTCCTCTGGTGGCAGCGTAAAAGGGTGAAAAGAACAAGTCGTGTCCGAAGGTGAACCTGTGTGTGTGGGGAAACAAACGGGATACTGGGGGTGCGCGACAGTTACGTGTTTGTGACACTACCTCTTTCATAAGAAATTTTATACTACATTTTTAACCGTCTTTGATTTTTAAAAATTAAGAGATTATCTGTATATACTGGGGGTGCGCGACAGTTACGTATTTGTGACGTATTTGTGACGTATTTCATAAGAAATTGTAAACTACATTTTTAACCATCTTTTATTTTTAAAAATTAAGAGATTATCTGTATAGATGCTGGAGTTCCTTTAGATGAGACTGAGTTACCAAGGAGGACGATGTAATGAACTTGTTCCGTATCCCATTGGTTGACACTGTAGCCTCATCAAGGCAAACCTCTCTCTGCATAGCTGTAATAATATACATTTGTCAGGTTGCGATACTTATGGAAACTGTGGCCATGATCCAGTGATGTACTTTACTATCCAATGTTAGCAGAATCTGGATTTTCCCCTTCCTCTTGGCTGCTGCAGTTCCCCCCCCCTCAAAAAAAAAAAAAAAAAGCCTTCATTAAAAGCTGAATCTCAGAATGCCACTGCCCATGATGGATGAAGTGTGGCTGACCACCATGTGGTGCAGCCAGTGAAACATTGCAGCCCTGAGCATGCATGGAAAAGCCTTGGATGTGTTACAACACTTGAAAGTGTTGTAACTAGAAGGTTTAGGTTTTAAGATCTGAGGAGTTCCTTGTCTCAGTCCCACCACTCTCACAGATGTTTGGTGAGAGAAGTGTATTTTCCAGCAGTCTGTAACTGTGTTCCTACATCCTGCATTATTATATCCAGGTTCTTGTAGTAACACATCTCTTGCCAATATATGTTGATCAACCAGTGACCCCTACTAGTGTGCAAGAATTCTATACTGATTTTTAAAACAATCTTTGTAAAGGTACTCTTCCCTACAATATTAATCACTGTATCATTTCATTTCTAGAAACTGACATTTTCATTTCATTCTGTAAAACCTTTATAATTATCTTACGTGTCATAATTCTTTCACAAAAAGCCAATGACTAGCCTTCAGTATGATTTAAAAATGGAGGGAGAGCGTGTGCGTGCATGTGTGCATATGTTGATGTATGTCTTAATTTGACACCTTCCTGTTGCAGAAAAGATCACAAGAACTGAGGGTTTGAGTAAGTTAACAGAAAGGATTACACTCAGGGACTTAAAGTGTATTTGCCTTAAGTTCTTGAAACCAGTGTAACTAACAACATAGACAGATATTGTTGATCTAGTCTGTGCAGTTGTGTCTGGGAATATGACTAAACTAGACTTCCAAGAGGCACATGAACAGACGTGAACATGCAACCACTACAGATGTGTACATGTTCATCAAGCTTAGTATTACCGTATCTATCCTGATGCAATGTGATGCTCCAGGAGGAGCATTTCCCTGCCTTATCTGGAGAAGCCAGTTTGTGTTTGCACGAAAAGTATGTGCTTTACTTCAGTTTAAGCACAGAAATACATTACCATTTTTCCATAGTTAAAAACAGGTCCTTTCCCCCTTTTTTATGTTTTATTCTGGGGATGGGGAAAAATTCAAAGTAGGTCTGATATAATGATCAATTTCTTGCAAGCAGAAGAAATGTGTGTCCCCAAGGAGTATAGCCTGAAGATTCACCTAGCCAGTATTTCTAATGTGTCCTAGTTGCCTCGTTCTGCACAATATTCTGCTAATCTGCATTTATTTGTATGTTTCCTCCCTGTCAGCTTCATGGGCCATTCATAGAACTCTTAAGAGAATTAAAAAAAAACCAATTGGTCTTACACTAAGGTTTACATCTTAACTTTAGAGTTACATCTGGCATAACTTACACTCTTGCATACAAATACTGATAGTTCTACAATTTCTTATTTGTGTTTACTTAAGTATCTTTTTTAAAAAAGAAGAATACCATCTGGCATGGATGCTTTATTATTTCATAGTCCATCATGCTCTTCCTGAACACCTTACACAGCAGTCTGCAATAGATCTTCAGATTAATCACCTTAATAAGAAAAGAGGTGCTCGGGATAGAAATGTTCCTGACCCTTTTGAAGATTGTTGCAGATTATTTACGCCATTCCTCAGAAATGTGCCCCTTATCATATTTTAATTGTCCATCCAATTTCTTCTACTGATGGTATACTCATCAGAACAATGTTATATTCAAAACTGTGAGCCTATAAACATATGCTGCCCTTACTGCCATTGTAACTTCCTGATCATTGTCTTAATTAAAGTATTTAATCAAAGGAATTAGTTTTACTTTATCAGCTCCAAAATTTGAAATTGACAATTTTTTTTTGTTTTATGCTGTGCCAACTGTGATATTCAGATACCTTTCCTTCTTATATTCTGAATTTTGTTTTTTTGTTTTGCTATTATTTTTCAAAGAAACTTGGCAAGGAATTACGAAATAAGGTAATAAAATAAAAGGGATCCTTTACAGATTGTCTCGTGGTTAATCCTCAGGCCTACAGTTTTTGAGGATAATATTCATATCCTAATTTTGTTTAGGGGGTATCATACCCTGCCCTGCCTGCCTTCTTTTAACGTGTAGATGCCAGAAGATGTGGCAAGCAAAAGATTTGGCCCCCTGCAATAATAAGGTTCTTTTCAGATCTATGTCCAGTTTGTATTGATACACTATTTATTATTACTCAGGTGGTATTGGTGCCTCTACTTAGGATGGATGGACCATGGTCTTCATCCTGTTACACAGTCAGACTCTACCTCTGGATTTGGTAATGATAAAATGCAACACCACTCTTTGATGCAAGGAAAGGAAACAACCACAGGTCTAAGGAGCAATTTGCTGCCATAGAATCTTTTGGGGGCTGTGTGGATCCGTGAAAGCACTAACAAAATGCAAACGAATGGAAACAAAGATGTGGAAGTTCACTTTTGGTTTTGAAATAGTTTTATGCAGAGGTATTAAACCTTGCAGCAGTGGTTACAGCATATGTAAAAGAGGAAGATCCTTTTTTGGGCAGTGGGCAGGGAATCGGATGGGGCTGAGGGTTGCAACACTGACTTGGAGACCATGTGCATTCCCAGAGCTATACTTTATCCGTGCTTGGTTTTAACTCTTAAATTGATGCCACAGCTTGGCTTTTCATATGAGAGTGAGCAGAAGATGGGGAAGGAGGCTTGGTGGGATGTAAAGGTGTTTCAGTGCCTTTTAGGAACTAATTGACTACCTGTTAATGAACATGAGTCTGTCTACTGGTGCTTGCTCACAAGCGGTTTCTGTATTCTGGTCTTTGCAGACTGAAGAAGTCCTGAAGATTGATGGAGGGCCATGCTATTCAAACAGCAGGTGTTGCTGAAACAGAAGCTCCTTGTGCTAGGCAGCCTTGCTATTGGAAGTCTCCTATATCTAGTTGCCAGAGTTGGGAGCTTGGATAGGTAAGTGAGTTTCAATTAGCATGACTGGGTAACATTCATTATTATATGTGGCTTCAGTTGGATGTCCCTACACCCCACTCACAACTTTCTCCAAGACTATGGATATAATTAAATAGATTTCTTCCAGCTCTTTGTCTTTATATGAATGTCTAGAAAGACAATGTACTGTAGTACTGATTTTCATTGTTATATCCATTCTGTTTAAGGATGGGGGAGAATGCAGGAAAACTGGTTTCAGCAATTCTCAGCCAGTGCACTTCTACTTCTCCATTTATATTCAGTGTGCAGTAGTAGTTGCTTTCAGAAGGAGACTAAAGCAGCATACAGTAAAAATGTCATTAAGGTGTCTGGTTTTCATCTGTGTGCATCAGCAGGTTGACCTCAAGTCTCGACAAACAGTTATGATGTATTTATGCATCTTCCTTTCTAAAACTTATGAGTTGGCAATTAATGCGCTACCATGGTATTTAAAATTATGCATGAGCCTGTTGAGTTAGCTCGTCAAGCTTGGGAGCCTACTGCACTTGAAAGATTGCTGAAGAGATGGGGAATTTTAACTATGATAATTGGCCATGATTATTCTATTTTTATACATTTTAACTTTTTGGATGCTTTTTGTATTTGAAAAAATAAATCTTATTTTGTGGAAATAAGGAGTGAAGAGGATCTCTCTGTGAATGATTTTCTCAAGCACTTCAGCCACTATAGGTATAAAACTACAAGATTTTTTTACATGTTTGCAAGGATTGCATACTGTATATACTCATATGAGCGAATAACTTTTCTTACCAACCAAAGATAATTTTTCTTCATGACTCTATATATCACAGTGGGTTGGAACAAAACTCCACTATTTTGGACAGTATTTTGTAGCCACGTCATCCTGTTGCTATTTATGGTCATAAAATGCCAAGCAAAAGGACAGTTGAGTAAGCATCCTTTCTCCAGCAGGCTTTCTCTTACATACCAGTTTTGTGACCAAACAATCAACCACCACATGAACAGCCATGCAGTAGAAAGACTGATGGACTTGGCAGAATGCTGACATTGATTGGCCTTCCACATCATGTTTAGGCTTCACCACGCAGATGACTGGGGTGCTCCGTACTAAAACTCAGTTCATGTGATCTCCCTCAGTTCTAAGCAGCATATTTCTTTCATCATCAAACTCAAGACAACATACAGGTGTTCCCAGATGGTCTTCCATCCATACATTGATTAGATCCAGAGCTATCTTGTGCACTCAGGTGATATACCAGAGTGCAGCTTGGCAGAAGCGAGGAGTTTGATATCTGACTAAAAAAGTATTAGAGATAGCAAAACGCCTTTGTGAGAAGAGGCTGATGCGTTCATGTCCTGTTTGTGAGCTTTCAAGAAGCTTCTGATAGGCCAGTGTTGGAATAAACAACCTTATATCAGTTAAATGCTCCTGTACATTGTACTGTGTGAGAGCAGTGTTAATCTTGTTGAATTATAAACTCTTGATGTGGTAAGATATATGATATCATGCTTCCTCCTAACTTACAAATAATAAATCAGAGTCTTAGGGTGCAATATTCAAATGAAACCTCTTTGTGATTCAGGGAATCATGACCAAGCAAACATCAGATGTGCATGGCAGTGCTCCTGCAGCTTTGTGATTCAGGGACCCTTGACCAAGCAAACATCAGATGTGCATGGCATTAAGGACGTAGTCCAGCCTAGGCGTTGTACAAAAATGCCTGGCCCTGGGACTGGGTGGTGTGGGCCTCCACTTTCATGCTGGCTTGGCTCTGTATATATGATCTTTGCTTGCAATGGTTGGATGAACAGGCCGGGTTAATGTGGTGAAGCCTAAGCAAAAGGAGCCGATTATGGATTAAGCTTATGTTGCATTCCAATAAAGGGATGATTGCTGCTTCAGTCTTTAGCATTCTTCTATTAGTAGTGATTCTTTGGTGGTTTCAGTAAAGACAGTTCTGCATATATTGAGAAAGGAAGAATCATGTATTAATGGTGGAATCATCCCACCATCTACTGGCAAAGCCCCATAAAGATATGTAAAATAGTCATAGCCAATTACACAGCTTCATGTATGGGATAAAGTTCCTTCTTGTCTCCTGCAGGAATTTGTCCTGTGCCCTGAGGCATGAAATTTAATTAACCTTATCACCAATCTAAGCTTGCACAGCTACAAATGTTATTAATGGTCATAAAATTATCTAGACACAGTACTTGACTCCTTGAACTCCTGCAGTAGTGAATTCCATAGGATCCATATATAATATTGCTAATGGCAAGAGGGGGTTTATTCCTCTCATTTTCTTTCTTTGTGTTTTTTTTTTAAATCAAGCTGTGATGGATTTTTATTCACTAGTGAATCCTGTTCTTATTGTAGAGAAGTCTGGATGTCCTTCTAGCCACCTTGATTTCTCTTATAGTTATATCATTCTAACTCTGTGTAAACTACCACCTCTGGATTTGCCACTGGTTGCCACTTCTCTTAGCACTATTCAGCTGGTATAGGGCTACACAAACCAGCCTTAGCAGATATCAATAGGAAAGTCTGCTGTGGAGTTTAAAGAAGCCCAAATCTCACAAACACATTAGCAGTACAGAATTTGGTTTATTTACCTCCCAAACAGTGCTGGAACCATCTTGAAACAGGTCTGTGATTATTTCACTGAAACCACAGAAAATGGGTCAACGTAAGGCTTCTGGGGAAAGACAAAACTGTGGAATGTTGAACTGTTTTGTGTTTTATCCATTAGGAAGCAGGCAAATTATTCAACTCTTATATATTGCTTCAGCTTTAGACTCTAATTTCACACCTCTTTATTTGTAAGTCCTACTTAATGATGCTGTTAAGCAGAAGTGTATGTGATTGTCTTTAATAATGCTGGACAAAAATTTTTCCTGTTCTTTCCTCTGCAGACTGCAGCCCCTTTGCCCCATTGATGGTCGATTTGGACTCCATGGCCAAGATGACATTCCTGTCCGAGCTATCCAGTTTAAGCGTGGGCTGTTACATGAGTTCCGAAAGGGAAATGCCAGCAAGGAGCAAATTCGACTTCACAGTTTGGTCCAGCAGATCCCCAAGGCCATAATAATTGGAGTGAGGAAAGGAGGAACACGGGCATTGCTTGAAATGCTTAATCTCCATCCAGCAGTGGTCAAAGCTTCTCAAGAAATCCACTTCTTTGATAACGATGAGAACTATGCCAAGGGCATTGAGTGGTACAGGAAAAAAATGCCATTTTCTTATCCTCATCAAATAACAATTGAGAAAAGTCCTGCATACTTTATCACTGAGGAGGTACCTGAAAGGATTTATAAAATGAACTCATCCATCAAATTGCTGATCATTGTCAGGGAACCCACAACAAGAGCTATTTCTGATTATACTCAGGTGCTGGAGGGAAAGGAAAGGAAGAATAAAACCTACTACAAATTTGAAAAGCTGGCCATTGATCCCAACACCTGTGAGGTGAACACTAAATACAAGGCAGTAAGAACCAGCATCTACACAAAACATCTGGAAAGGTGGCTAAAGTATTTTCCCATAGAGCAATTTCATATTGTTGATGGTGACCGTCTCATTACAGAACCGCTGCCAGAACTCCAGCTGGTAGAGAAGTTCTTAAATCTTCCTCCAAGGATAAGTCAATATAATTTATATTTCAATGCCACCAGAGGGTTTTACTGCTTGCGATTTAACATTGTCTTTAACAAGTGCCTGGCAGGAAGCAAGGGACGCATCCATCCAGAGGTGGACTCCTCTGTCATTACCAAATTGCGCAAGTTCTTTCACCCTTTTAATCAGAAATTTTACCAGATCACAGGGAGGACATTTAACTGGCCCTAAAGTGAATTTCATACAACACTGTGTGTTGCACCCAGAGATATGCAACTGTGTCTCTCTTAGAGTAAAAATATGCACTTTTCGTATACACAAAGTAACCTTTTTTCATGCATACTTGGACATATGCAGTGTGTGACCAAATATAAGGTGGGATCAATTTTTCTACAGAGCAGTGAATAACATAAAATTTACTCTCTGCATAATTGCATCGTTTTGTGCTATACAATTAAATAAGAAGACATCATTTAAAGAAATTAACTCAGCTGTTCAGTTCAAGGGTCAGTACTCTATTTGTTCCATAAAATTTAATACCAAACATATCTGGAGAGGAGGGAGACTATTATTTTAAAAAATCATTGAAAGAGCTGTTTTAGAAAGTCTGTACTAGACTGTTGTGGATACATACTGCTAAAAGAATATTGACCCTTTAGAGGTGTAAATCTATGCTTCAGACTTATATTGGTTCCCTTTTGAGGACAATGAAAATTGTATGTCTGGGATGGAGTGGGCAGGAGGGTGGGGTGGTACAGATCTCCAAGGGAGAATTCTCATCTGCTTACACTTTGCGGCATTTTTTGAGGGAAACCATGCCCATTAAACTGGTTGAAACTCAATATAAGTTTGCAGTGTAAATGTATACTCTGTGTGATGCTGAGTTTTCTTGGAATTCTTTTCCTATTGTTTGAAAAGAAATTCTCTCATGCAATCAACATTGTTTCAAATTTCCTGTGGTGAGTTTGCACTATTGTTTTATATCGTATCGATCATCTTGGCACTTGTAGCATGTCAATCATGTGTCGGAAAAGAAGTCTTTTTTCTTTCTTTCTATGCTTGTATGTTGACAAAGAGAAACCTGCTGTACATAATGTATATTGTTTGTAAATACTGGTTTCACACTAAGTAATTCTATTTTGTAAACTGAATATGGCTATTTAATTTATTGTGAAAATTAAATTTATTGTGGTATTTAAAAATGGAATGGATTAAAATTGCTATATGTGCAACTGGTTTTCTCTTTCTCTTTGACAAATGTTTGATGATCTTCTATAATGCCTCTTTATTTCAAACCAATTTTGATGAGTTAGAAGTCTGGGGGCTCCAGTATCTACTACAGCACAGTTTCTTCAAAAAGATGTCCCTGGAGACTGAAAAGTGTTTCTGTAATATAAGGTTTATTTATACAGTTATAGTGGCTTACCATAAATTATGGCTTTACAACATTTTTGATCAGGTATCCTCTCTCATAGATGGTGGGAATGCTCTAGATGTAATATATCTTGATTTCAGCAAGACTTTTACAAAATGCCGCATGATATTCTGATTAGCAAGCTAACTAGGTGTGAGCTAGTTAGAACAACTATCAAGTTGATACATAGTTGGTTATAGGATCACACTCAAAAGCTGCTTATCAATGGCTATTTCTCAAATAGAGAGTAGTTAACAAGCAGCCTCAAGTTACAGGAAACCATATTTCAGTTGAATATCAGGAAAAACCTCCAAACTGTCTGATCAGTATGACAATGAAAACAATTACCTTAGGACAGGGGTCTCAAACTCAATTTACCTGGGAGCCAGGTAAAGCCTGTGTGAGGATGGGCCGCATCAGATTTTCTGCCAAGCGGAGCAAGAGTCCAAGAAAGCCACCCAGGAGTTTCCTTAGCTCGGCTGGGGCTCCGAGGAGGAAGAAGCACCATTGGGTATTGAAGTGGCCGCTGGCCGGGCTGGTGCTGAGGGTGCCGACAGAGAAAGAGAGCCAGAGAGCTGCTTCCCTGGAAGAGGTGGCGGTGGTGGCAGCTGCTGTTGGAGGCGCTCTTCGAGGATGGGCTGGGAGCATCGCTCGGTGGTGGCTCGGGGAAAAGGGCTGGCAGTGCACCTCGCTCGCCAGTTCTCCCCCAAGACAGCGCCTCTTGCACCCTCCATCTGGAACTGCAGCCTGCTAGCCAGCAGACAGGTGAGCTGGCTGGCAGGCTGCATTTCCAATGGAGGGTGCAAGAGGCACTGTCTTGGGAGAGAGCCAGAAAGCGAGGCAAGGCTTGTTTTGATACTTGACAGCAGAGGATGTGTGGGCACTTCAGGGGGGGCAGGCAAGGCAGGGGCCACAAACTATCATCCGATGGGCCGCAAATGGCCCTCGGTCCGCATGTTTGAGACCCCTGCCTTAGGAAGTGATTAGCACTGTAGGCATTCAAGAGTAAGTTAAATAACCGTCTGCTTTGATTTAGATTCCTGCACTGAGCAGGGGGTTGGATTCAATGGCTGTATAGGCCCTTTCCAACTTCATTATTCTATGATTAGCATTCCAAAGGATTTATGTGCTCCATCAAATTTCCAAGGAACTAACAGTGGCATGTGGTTTCCTGTAGAGAACTGTATGAGCTGTCACCCTTCTCTTCACAATCACATCGAGCACACACTGGCCTCATTCATGCCTCCCTTATGTGGTAGAAAAAAATGAACACACACACATTCTCCTGAATTTCCCCCATGAACATTTTCACAGTTCCTCCCACCACTCAAAACAAAGAAACCAACAAACAAAAGTTCTGATCTCTAGCCCTTGACTGCCATCCTTTTACGCCATTAAAAGTATCAGCCCTCACGGTCTCAGGTTTAGGTTCAGAACCTCAAGGAAAGGGATGCTGTTGGCCTGATAATCCTATCCATATTCCATCTTTAACACCAATCAATTTATATAAAAGATAAATGGAAGATTTTTGTCTCATATGAGATGTTTTGCCAGAGCTTCCACCACAATCCATGGAACAATTCTATGAAAAAAGCACTGCATAAGATGCAGAATGGTGATCAAGTTTAAAAAGTAGCTGCTGTTGTAGCCATGTGTAGTTCCAACATTTTGCCAAAGAAAAAAGAAAAAAGGAAAAAAAAAGTCCTTGTAGGGGGAGGAATACCCAGTTAAAATCAAGTCTGACTTCTGAGAAACTGATGAGGATTTTTCCTCACCTAGAAAAAATTGGTAAAAATTTCTCCCCAGTTGCACTACCCAGCAATAGTGTGAAGATTTTTGAGGCACCAGTTGTTCAGGGGTATACCATAAGTGAATAAGCTGTTTGGAAAATTTGGAGGAATTAAAGCAGCATCTTGTGGTGCAACATGGGAGAGAAGTCCTGACTGGAGAAGGTTCGGTGTGACACAAACTTCAAAAAGCATCATTCTGTTTCTGGTTAAAATACAAATCAACTAGTTTATAATCCCCTGTATGGACAAGAAATGCCTATGGTTATGACTAGTGAGATAGAGGACACAGGGTTATTTACATATTGCAAACACTCAATGGGACTTGCTGCTAAGTAGACATGGATGGATTTCCACTGGAAAACTTAGCATGAATTTTATAGTATAAGGTAGTATGGCTTACGAGATGAAAGAAAACCATTTGGCCCTTTTTGATTGCATACTGTGCTTTTTAAAAACCTATTCAATTACAATGAACTTGCCACCACAGATTGAAAGGAAAAGGTCATAATATAACCATGCTCACTGGAAGGACAGATCCTGAAGCTGAGGCTCCAATACTTTGGCCATCTCATGAGAAGAGAAGACTCCTTGGAAAGGACCCTGATGTTAGGAAAATGTGAAGGCAAGAGGAGAAGGGGACGGCAGAGGACGAGATGGTTGGACAGTGTCATTGAAGCAACCAACATAAATTTGACCCAACTCCTGGAGGCAGTGGAAGACAGGAGGGCCTGGCATGCTCTGGTCCATGGGGTCACGAAGAGTCGGACACGACTAAATGACTAAACAACAACAAATAACCATATTACATACATGCAGGACTACTGGGTATCAAATTAAAAATGCCTAGGAGAAAAAAGAGAGCATAGTAAAAAAAATTTTAAAAAAACCACATATACTTTGCAATACACCCAAACTATTCAACAGCACTTCATCATACTCATAAGAGAGACATCCATTCTTCCACCATGGTGCATAAATTTGGCAGCTATGAAGCAAGTCCCTGCTTTAATATCATTCAGTGATTAACTCTTTGAGCCAACATACATGATGCAACATTCTTCAGTCTAATCCAGACTTCTTCCTTGACTACAGTGCCATCCAGCAATGGAAGCAATGTCATCAGACATGATTTCTGGTTATATGGCTTTTTGCCATGAATTGGGGGAGCAATAAAGACCTCATCACTGAGAAGTGTCTTATTCATGTGATTCTTCCTAGCTGTACGCCCTCTTGTGGTCAGATTTATTCTTATGCCCTACACAAGGAATTGTTGAGTAGCTTTTTTCAGACCACAAACATTAGTCTTTGAGAAACTTTCTTTTTAGTGATTCTATAAGTTCACTTGTATGGAAACCAGGCAATGCAATGTTCCAGATGTTCCATGGAGTCAAGAATCATACTCAGAATCCTCAAACTGCTCATTCTGGAATAATGCCATTATAAATAGGTAAAAGTAAAGATTGTCCTTGACATTTAGTCCAGCTCATCTCCGTTTCCAAGCCATAGAGCCAGTGTTTTGTCCAAAGACAGTTTCTGTGGTCACGTGGCCAGCACGACTAGACACAGAACATCATTACCTTCCCACCTATTTATCTACTTGTATTTACATGCTTTTGAACTGCTAGGTTGGCAGGAGCTGGGATAAGTGAGGGGAGCTCACTCGGTCGCGTGGATTCCATCTTACGACTGCTGGTCTTCTGACCCTGCAGCACAGAGGTTTAACCCGCAGCGCCACCACGTCCCCTTGCCATTGTAAATAAATAGGACTAATTCAGAGTTTCTGATTAGAAAACCATCATCAGGATTAAAGCACAGTGGGGGAACCTCAGTGACAGTAGTGATGTTAATTTTCCTGGTTTCCTTCAGAATTTCAGTTGATGATAGTAACACTAGCATTTGCTAAGACTTCGGTTTAAAAATCAGGAGTCTCACAAATGGATAAGGGACATTTAAACTTATCACCATCACCAATTCCCACCCACCACATCCTCCACCCTACCAAGAAATGGGGGGAGTGAAAAATCCATCACGTTTTTTTGGGGGGGGATGGGGACTGGCTCGGGAGAAGATATCACCTTTCCCCAGCCATATCCAATCCAAATCAGAGCAGGACATACTTAACTTGATAGCAGATAAAAAATTAAAAACCACAAGTGATCATCAATGGCTCACTATATATTTAATGTGTTTTGTTTGGTGTTTGGTCAATGGAAGGTAAATGCAGGCTTAATATTCCTGCCTAAATCTTGAAACAATAGCACTGCTTGTTTTAAAAGGAATGAACAATGCTATGGCTAACAATGAACAATGCTATAGCTCCAGTACTTTGGCCATCTCATGAGAAGAGAAGACTCCTTGGAAAAAACCTTGATGTTAGGAAAGTGTGACGGCAAGAGGAGAAGGGGACGACTGAGGATGATGCTATGGTTATGTAGCACCATGTACTATCCACAAACCTGACGGCCCATCAACTGGTGATCATGCTATTATCCTAAGGTCATATCACACACTATAGATTAAGCATGTCTGTTGTCACATTTGATGTAACCACATACTGTACATCTGTTTTACCATGTGGATGTCATCTGGCAAGAAGTTGTAGCTCATCCCAACATTTCTTAGAATGATTATGCCATGGAAGAGATGCAAGAGGTCCTTGGAATTGTGACAAAGTATATTCTCAATCCATAATATAACTTATGTAGGACCATGTACTATCCACAAACCTGACTGCCCATCAACTGGTTATCATGCTATTATCTTAAGGTCATATCACACACTATAGATTAAGCATGTCTGTTGTCACATTTGATGTAACCACATACTGTACATCTGTTTTACCATGTGGATGTCATCTGGCAAGAAGTTGTAGCTCATCCCAACATTTCTTAGAATGATTATGCCATGGAAGAGATGCAAGAGGTCCTTGGAATTGTGACAAAGTATATTCTCAATCCATAATAAGTGAAACTGCCCTTGTGGAGTTAGCCCGCAAAGGCTAATGTGTGGTTCAGGCACCCATTCGCTGATCATCTGAATGATGAGATGGCTAAATTGAATTGAGTCACATAATAACTTAAGGGGTAAAGCCATTTCCAGTAAAAATGCTATTATCTTAATTCTAGTTATCCCAAAGTGCTGAAAATTTACAGAGCAAATGATATATTACAAGCAAATGTGGGCTACAGA